ACGACGACGACGGACAATCATTCATATGATAAGCTTCGCTCGACAAAGTCGACAGCGGAGCTAAAAAAGGGCGCTTGAGAAATAGTGACACATTTACATTCCATCACATTACGTGTAATTGCACTGGCGGACCCAGAAATTCGGTAAGAAGGACGCTCTTATTGACGTGGGCTGGGTTTGTCAATCGATTTTTCATTTTTTGCGGGCTGAAGGGGGGGGGCTGGCGCGCCTCCCCTAAATCCGCACGTGAATTGTGTTCTCTCATATAGCTATCTTAGTGTAATCATAGACCTTAGAAAGAGAGGGACAGGCAACTACATCATTTTTTTTTGTTTTAACCTGGGTTACAATCCTCCAAATAATCTCACAATCCTATTAACGAATAAACAACCATCTGTTTATTTGTACTGTCGGCCGCACTTGTGAAATCGCGCAAAACGCGTGAGTTTCTCTGCGTGACTACTGAAGCGACGGTCATGAATATGTAATACACGTTTCCAAATAGTTTAAAAAATTCAAATTTTCTACTTTTTTTAAAGCAAGTAATCAAACTAAAATACCCAAATTATTTAGTAAACGCAATAATTTGAACAAGGTCTATGGTGTAATCATGGACCATAAGGTCTATAGCGTAACCATGGACGCATTAACACAAGATGAACCACTGAGTTAAGAGGATTAAAAAACACTCGAGAATGTTTACTTTTGGTGTTATAATGTGTTAAAATCCACTTCAATCCTTGTCTGACCATGGACGTTACGGTCTTACCAACAAACATACAGATAAACACCGACCCTCAACCGTTGAGAGACGGTGAGATAAAACACGATACAACAAGATCAACGTAATTGGAAGCGCCATGTCGTCATTAAAATGGCTGTGTACATCACGTGAAAAAATATTATATCTTCCAATTTCACTGCACGGTGTTAGTATGTCCATGGTGTAACTATACAATCTTAGACTAATGGCAAATTAGTGACACAATAAAATAACTTGGCAGACAAAGCCACCAGGTCTATGTATACAATGTTAAAACCAATACCAAAGGAATTGACTGCAAAACACCTAATACACCTATTTAGGACTTGTTTAAAACCAATATTATTATACGGATCAGATACACGGTGTTTTGAAATTCTAGAAAATAATAAGTGGGACACAACAACAATTGAAAAAAAAAAACATCTGAAATTTTGTAGACATATTCTAGGATTGAATCAATTCTCCACAAATGTAGACTGTAGAAAAGAATTAGGTGAACTATCATTGAACTGAGAGTCAGAATCCAATGAAGCATTCGGCAAGCATCAAAGAACTTCAATTAACTAAGTATGGAGCATTTAACTGCACTTGTACATGATTATTAAATGATCCAAGTACGCTCTGACATGGTGTGTAGGTCCTTTACTGAAACGTAAACTTCTAAATATTGTAAGCGAAGTGGTCTAAACAACCCCGATTTGATAGAGCAGCTGTCAGAAACCCGACTACCCAGTGAAAACGATCAACGGACTGCATTACTAGTTTCTGAAATTGGACACAACTCCCGTAAAACAGTCACTAGATTCATATTATATGTGGTGTTATTCTACTGTTTAATAAACACATAGTGTCCCAGAAATCACTTACTAGTGCTAGTACTCCAAATACCAAGCCACACATGCACTCGCCGACAATTAACACGAACTCAAGTTGCATGTGTTGACGGACGGTACTTATGCATAACAATAACACGACAAATCAGTTGTCACAGTGTCAACGTGGGGGTAAACTTGTCTCCACGACGACCGGGAGGATAATCATAATTTAATATTGAGTAAACAGTTTATGCATAAAGCACAAAAAGAAAGTTGGTGTTATTTTCCCGCGACCCCTGTTCCACCTTCAATCTTCGGTCCCCCGGTGCGCTGGAATTCCACAACATTTACTTCAGGCACGGCTTTCTTGGTAATGAACCGTTGCAGATATATGAGCGCCCTCAGGCGAGTTGTGCCATCTAATGTCAGTCCTCCTAGTCCATGTTTGATTTTAAAGTGAACCATAAACAAAACAAAATTTTATTTAATTATCAACTTTATATAAAGATAATTATAAATTATAATATGGGTATTTGTCTTAATAGTTAATATATATTTGATTCCTTCATTAAGTAATTATTATTTTATATTGTATTTCCGGAGGGAGGAAGCAAAGTGATATTAAAACCAGCATTGGGTCTGTGGATCGTCCGGCGATCAACAATACAGTACTGGGACTCCTTGATACCAAGATGGTACGTTTAATTTCGTTCTTTTCTGTAATGTCTCAACTGATTAGTCTAACAACTACAGTTGTCTCACTTGGTGCTAACCGGTGTCTCTTATTTGTCTTTTACAGGCTCGCGTATTCTTGGGATTGTTGTCTTTTGCCGTGATTCTAGTGGTTGTTAGCGGGTCAGGCGATGCGAAATCTCACAACAAGAAGGGGGTAAGTAACGTACGTGAAGGTATGGACAAGCGCTGACTACAGCTGGACTTGCCACTGATTTCTCAGCGGGATTCATTTGTTTCCCAATTGTTAGGTCGCCGTTTCAGACGACCTACGATACAGTACGGTATATTTAGGTCACAGTCTTCAGATTAGATAGAATTGGGTCATCATCGGTGGTCCGATCGTAAACTAAATATTTCAATGTTTCTAGGTTTTGTCGCAAAGTTTTCTTGAAAGTCGCGTGGCGTGAATTTTTAATAAAAATGTCACCGGTAACTTTTACAATATTGATACTAACACAGCTCTGTGATTTGTCAGTTTTGGTTTCCATCTCAGATCGCATGTAGGAGTTTGAATTGCTTAATATCGACATCATTGAAGCACTTATCCATTTCCTGTGTTTCTTTGTCGGGAGTAAAAAAGCAAATATTTTTCTGAAAGGATGTAGTTTATCGACTTGGTACTTCGTAGTTTCATCTAGTTTTATTACCCAAGCATGGCTGATACGATATAATTAAAGAAAATCGTTAGTGCCTGTTTATAAAAACCGCACTCCTGGCATATAATGAAAAGGGGGGGGGGTGAAAAACAAATTGCTTAATAGTTATAATTTAACCAGAATTGGAAGATGTTAACCTCCCCTATTTTGATTTACTCTAAAATCCTTTTTTCAGCTGCAATTAATTTTGCTTTTTTGTGTGTTTTGTATGGAATTCATTTTCACTGATGTATGTTGAGTTGACTGTAAAATATATGAAAAAAGTATATTCGCTGGATTTTAATTTCACTGGACCAGCCCTTCAGAAAAAATACTGAAATAAAAGTACCTTACAGTACAGCACTAAAATATATACCAATCTGATTAAAAATATGTTGTTTTACTTTTTTATAAATGTACATATTACTCAATGTCTGTGTTGTCATGCCAACCAAAAATAGTACTTAGTGCAGTACAAAATCCGTATATAATGCATGTGTTTGTATTCTATCGCCGTTTTCACATCCAGTCTGAATGTCTCTGCATCCTGCCATTCTCTTCAGTCAGTAATTTGTTGCATGAATCCATGTATAAAAAGCTAATTTCTCTTTTATTTTGGCAAATTTAACCCTCCAGTGAACTGGATGGGAATAAATTCCAGAGTTAAGGATTTCAAATTACAGAAGCCTGTGAAACGCAAGTTTTGTTTTTATGGCCTGTGCTCATTGATGAGTGACTCTGATTGCCTTATATGTCAGGATAAACTGGACATGTAAAGAAATTAATTGCACTTAAGAAGTGTCTATTGCTACTACAATGCCAGCAGACTATTGGTAGTTGATAATGGCCCCCATTAAATATGTAGAAGTCCATTTACTGTGCAATTAGTGGTTTACTGGTATGGTTAGCAGAAGTGTCCACCAATTAGGGATCATCCATTTCATTTGGAGGGGGGTTCTTGATTACCTACAGTGTTCTTCTTCTAATCCTCAACATCACAAGTTGTTTCAGTGAGGAATCCAACATTGCTTTTAAATTATTCAAATACGTCAACTCAACTGACATTTTTTAAGATGCAATAGTAATGTTTTTCTGTACCAAATTTGTAGACTGGCGGAGTCGGGATGATTAGTTTGTTTTTTCAGTTTTAATAAAATAAAAAAATTCGCGAAATGAAAGTGTTAGCGTGAAGTCACCCCGACTGGTTTATTTTGCAGGAAATTCATTGCTATTAAATATTCATGATGCACATATTATAATGAGGTGGGCGCGGAAATACGTGCATAATGAGGTCAACATGGTAAAGCTCACATTGCAGACCCAACATGGCTGCATGTTGAAATTTGAGTTTTTTGTAGTCGTTGTAAATAGACTTAAAAAGTAACTCGTACTAGTCGTAGAATTAAAAAAAAAACGGCTGCTACAATCAGCCGACGTCTTCTCGATCAGAGGTCAGATGAAGAGACGTTGTGATTGGCTTAGATGATTGTCAATTAGAACACTCATTAACATGGGTGATAAGGAATCATCCATACAGGTGTGTGTGTGTGTGGGGGGGGGGGTAATTCATTCATGTATAGGTGAATGTTTTTAGTCATCAATTGTTTGTGTCATGTATATATTAAACAGAACTAGGTAGTCGGATAGTACATTTTGAAAAAGTAGTCCATGTTCTCACTAGAAAAAGTGGTCCGTGTTCTCACTCGAAAAAGTAGTCCGTGTTCTCACTAGAAAAAGTAGTCCATGTTCTCACTAGAAAAAGTAGTCCGTGTTCTCACTCGAAAAAGTAGTCCGTGTTCTCACTCGAAAAAGTAGTCCGTGTTCTCACTAGAAAAAGTAGTCCGTGTTCTCACTCGAAAAAGTAGTCCGTGTTCTCACTAGAAAAAGTAGTTTGTGTTCTCACTAGAAAAAGTAGTCCGTGTTCTCACTAGAAAAAGTAGTCCGTGTTCTCACTAGAAAAAGTAGTCCGTGTTCTCACTAGAAAAATTTACATTGACATAAGTTGTAAGGATCTCATAATCTTGCATTAACAGTGATAATTCGTACAGGAGGCGTAAATATGGTGACCACTGAGTAATGCGAACAATGGCAACGAATCATGGATAGTCAATATTTCGTTTGACCTTATACTCTGTCTTGTGTGTACTTCTTCAAACGAGCAATAATAACAATTCAATAATATATGAACATTGAGCTAAACTTGTTTTAGAGATCTACCGGTATTTTGGAATCTATTTTGAGTTTAAACTATGTCTACAGTTCAATACAACTATCTAAACTGCTTTAAAATTCAACACACATTGCGAGCCTACTTACTGTGCAATAAGATAAACATTAATACAGTTAACTAAGGCTATCAATTTAGTTAAAATGCCAATGCACTTACTGCATCTTTTGCAAATGCTACCCAGTGTTGCCCCCTCCCAACTCTGCCATATCTAAGTGTTTTTATGTCAACGCAACATGTTCTCACCTGTTTTTAAGCGCACGTAAGTATTATTTTATAACTATGTTAGTATAATGTTTTCACATCTGTTACTCTTTTACTCTATCACATGTTATTGTGTTGGCGTAAAGAAAAAAAACAAATGTAACACAAAATGAGACAGGGAATTTGTTGTCACACATTGTGAGACAGGAATTGGTACTCACTGTATGTTTGCACACCATTAATTTTATTTGCCTTATTGAGTATGTTCAGGTTCAGTCATAGGTATTGTATTTGTATAATTTAATTTTGAGAAATAACTACTCAAATCACTAAATGTTGTCTTGACGTTTTTCTGAGCAAAGATCATCTTTTATGATGGTTGATATAATTTAAAATGCTTCGTTTATTTTTTGAATACCATCATTTTTCCCGCCAAAATTTTGAAATATATTTCACTTGAAATCAGAACTTAAAAACAGAACTCATAAAAAATGTGGCAGTAGAAAACTATTGAGAATGAAAGGGTCACTGAACTTTGCTAGGAGATTCCAAGATGTAATATATTTTTTTTCTTCTTTCTTTAAGTGGGGTCAAACTTTTATAACGTCATCGACATTAAATTTATACAGGAAATTCTTGTCAGCCTTGAGAACAAACAGTACACTCTGTATGTGATCTAGCTCTATTGACCTTTGTTGAAGGGCTGACCTTTGCAGATAAAAACAACTTTAAAGACCCACTGGATGGACATAATAGACCAATAGTTACAAAGAGCTGTATTGTAGGTGGTTTTGTTGTCGTGGGAACATTGATTGAGAAGATAAAGGTGTCTGATCAGTGTCTTGTTATCTAATTGTAATTTGAACTTGTGTTCTGTTTGGTTGATGAAGGTGTGTTGAAAAGGTGTGATCATTCATCAAAAGAATACTGTGGAATACTTTATTTTCGTTGGAATTAATTTTCGCTGAAAAGGCTTTTTGGGCATTTTGTATGGAATTTATTTTCACTGATTTTTGATGAGTTTAATGTGAAATATAGGAAAAAAAGTATATTCGCTGGATTTTATTTTCATGAAATCATCCCTTCAGCGAAAACAGCAAAAATAAATTCCAAGCGAAAATAAAGTATTCTACAGTACTTTATTTTAGCTGGAATTAATTTTCACCTTTTTGGGAGTTTTCAACTTTAGTTAAATGTAAAATATAGAAAAATTCTATATTCTGATTCCATACTATTATCTATAAAATCCATGGCATTAAGGTAAATGTCTATGCTACTAATAGAGCAAGTATTAGTTTCCTAGGTGTGCTGGATATTGCTCAGGATATTTTTTTAAACCCAAAAAAAAACATTTAGCAACTAATCAGTTCTATTAGTATAACATAGGAGAGATGCAAAGAAGTAAGAATGACAGCAATTTAGTTTACTCTGTGTATCCTCTGCAGGGATTGCGTTAACCCCATATTTTGCTTCCCAGACTCCAATTATTGAAGAGGGACCCAGTTTTTCAGGCAAGCCGGGTTCAAATCTCTAATAAAGTTATAAAGGGTCAAATTTCAATTTCTTAAAATTTTGTAAGTGGGACTCGTCTTGCCGAGACACTTGCGCAAACCCTGCTCTGTGTATTGAAACATAACATACTGTGAAATACTTTATTTTAGATGGAATTAATTTTCACTGAAAACACTTTTTGAGTGTTTTCTATGGATTTTATTTTCATTGATTTTTGACAATTTGAATGTAAAATATACACAAAAAAGTATATTTGCTGGATTTTATTTTTACTGAATAATTCCTTCAGTGAAAATAGCGAAAATTAATTCCAATCGAAAATAAAGAATTCTACAGTAAACTAATAATTACAATAATTGTATACATATTCATTAAAATATGAATTATTACGATCATAAATATAACTAATTTACGTAAGTACGTGTGTGCTGCTAATCGTGCAAGTTCGTTTGAATTTCTCAGAAACTTTATTTCTTTATTGATAAGCAACAATAGATCACAACATAATGATGTGATTGCCATTACTTCTTTCGCTTTACCACGTCACAAATTGCTCTCTCGGTAAGACTCATCTGA